CTCCAGAGGTTGCTTTAGTCTCGATAAGCTCAGATGCCGAGAGGATTCTTCGCTAATTGATCAATAGCTGGATCATCCTGTGTGAGGCTAAGGCTGCTTGTGTATAGAGTAACACACCTCGCTATGGCGGAACTCATGTAGCTCAATAGCGATTAATACGCGTATGCATTGCGTATTGGACAATCAAAACCAGAGAAATCTCATTGGCCCATTTGCAAGCCAGAAAGAGATGTAGTGGGATTATAATTATATATATCCCCACTAGGTACATGTATTATATCGAAAAAAAACTCGTAAATAGAAAAACCAGCAAGTATATCAAAAACATCAAAGCAGAATATGACTTCTAGAGCAACTTTTGATAAGAACAAATACCAAATATTAAAGAAGGTGTCTGAACAAAACTAGAAAATGACTTGTAATTACATGACCCGGCTGGTTTGGCCATTCGGCATTCATCTGCTAGTAGTTTCGCTAGCCATTGATCTATGTACAGCCGCATTCGAAAAGTACTGGCACCCTACTATATTGAGTCGTTCATGGATTCTAGCCCGCCAACAACCATGGCACTCGCGCATACTCAACTTATTGACAGGTATGACCGCAATAGAGACATTGCAGCTCTCTCTGGCAACGGTCTCGAATATGAGAATTGCAAAGCAGAAAGGACTGCCTCGTGAGTTTGGCCCGGAGGTGCCAAAACTTTTCGAATGCGGCTGTACAGCTTTGGTGGTGTCGCAGGGTTAGGGCTAAAGTCAACTGCCCGCTGGGGCCAAATAATTAAACGTGCCAAACTAGCCATGACAATTGTACATGTACGTATACATGTATGTATACGAAGCCCTTGTGATATGTTTCGCGCGCCGGCGGATGCAAGCAGGATTTTCTTTACAGCCTCAACAGTCTCTACTTTCATATTTACGATAAATTCTCAGAAGCACGGATGCAACCCACTGCAATCCACATAATGGTTGATGAGACCCGTGTGGATATGTATGTATATGATTCGAAAGCTTATTGTAGTACTGACAGCCCAGAGAATTAGTGGAGGATCTGGCTTGGAGCTAGTGCTTTATCCGGCCTCAGTTGGTTCTGGAATTGGGCCAAGGGTCGCTTTTGCATTCCTTCTCTTCTCTTTGAGGAGTTCCCAGGTCGGAACAAAGAACAAGGCACTGACTGCCTATTGCAAAGCCTACAAAAAAAGCCAAAAGCAACCATCCTTTAGAACGGGGAGTATCGACAAAGAAAATATATACTTTCTCTGGACCAATGTTGATGTATGCTGGTCCAATTTAGGTCTTCAAATAGAGACCCATAGGTCCTGGTGGTCAAATTGAGTTATTCTTATTTTCAAGACAGAACTTTACATCTCACATATTAATACATATTTCTAAAAATTGACAATATGCAACACCAAGAAAGCAGACCCACGGCGGAAGAAGATGAAGAAGTCATCTACTCCTCTTCGCCAGCTCCCCCTCTCGATAACGAGTTCGAAAAGGACATGGACGAGAATGAAGACCATGAAAAGGCGCGGGATACAAGTCTCCCATTATCAGAGGTGAATAGGAAACTCTCAAACACATATTTTGGACGGAATGGTACCTAGGTTGTGAAACCAGAAGAGTAAAGAGAGAAGACCTTAACCATAGAGGAGGAGGATACCCATTATGTCATATCAACAAAAAGAAGATCAACAGAGCTAACCAAAGACCATTAATACCCAGCGTGGCGATTCACTGACGCGCATATGTTCGTTTGTCTCTCGTGGAAAACATAAAATAGACGCAAAGACCTCTCTAGAGATAGTATTCCAACACTTTAACGAACTGGGGAGTCCACAAGCTGCAAGCATCCTGACCGATATTCTATTCGATGCATCACCTGAGGTAATAATATAAGTCTCAACGCACAAGTATCAAGGAGAATCATCGAGATTGACTGGTAGCATCCATGATCCAGGTTAGTGGACTGGTAATGACCAACATTGGCATATTCGTTGCCCGAACCAATGACAAAGATTTCGAGGCCATAATATACTCTGTCGCCGAGGACCTTGACCTACGTGGCGAAAAACACGAAGCCATCCACATTGCCGCGAAGCACCTGATGAAACACTACTTCTCACAATTTATACCGGCCATTTTCGCCCCTGGGAGCATTGCGAAGGGGTCCCTAAAGTGGTTGACTGGAAATTACCGCGCCCTCAAACTAGAGTTATTCGGCAACGATTCTGAAGCCGGCGCGAACGCAGATCGGACGCTAATGACGGCCTTGAAATCGGCTTCATCACATCTCACAGATACTATTGATAAGACAATGATTTCAATGGATGCATTGACTACAGTTGTCAAGTCTGTACAGTCCGTGTTGGGAATCTACTCAGATCTTCTCCGTACTTCGGGAGAGTCGGGGGTCGTGATTATAAGTACCGCATTAACCTCCTCTCCAGGAATTCAACCCCAAACCCCTGGGAAAGAGATATTTGTCTCTACCACCAGGCGCCGTGGCCGTGATAGCACATGCTCGCGGGTATCACCGACAACGTTAATACCAACAGCTCACTACGCTCATGAGAGTGATACTTCGAGTCGTCAACATTCAAAGAATAGTTTTCGTGATAGCACACTCTCCGCTCGTGAGCGCGGCACGTCTTCTGCGGCAGGTGCTTCCACTTCAACCTCAACTCCGGATCCAGAAGGACATACCCGCTCTAGTTCGGCCCCACCAACGCCAATGACTTCAAAGCGTACTTGTGGCAATCCTAGTACAAATGAAGAAGAAAGCGTATCACCGAAGCGCCCCAAAAAAGATGGCCACAGCCCGGCTACCCCAAGTCCTCCGAGTCAGAGTAGCCAAGCGGGGGCTAACGCATTGCACCGGGGGAGTAGTAGCGGTGGGAGAGGCTATCAAGGCAAAAACTTTATTCCAGGGTACCGAGGGAGCTTCCGTAGTAGACACGAATCGTTCAGATCTAGTTCATGGCGTGGTAGGCAGTACTGGAACGGCGGTAGGAGCGACCATGGATATTCTCGTGGCGGATCGGATTACCCTCCTAGGATGAACTACGATTAATATCAGTGACACTCTTTATAATATGTCGGTTTCTTACGGGAGGCCGTTTTTGGCGTGTTACTGGAATTTCTATTTCTTTTCTTTTCTCGGGAGGCAGTTCTGTAATCGAGTGAGGGGTTATGATGCGGATGTTGTGTTTCATTGTGGGAACGTTCTAAAATAATACATGTCTTATAAAATAATACATGTCTTATAAAATAATACATGTCTTATAAAATAATACATGTCTTATATACAAGACCGTTCCAAATGGGCCGCCTATGTGCGCATGTGTGCGTAGCATTTAAGGCGGTAAATGTCCACCAATGTCCACGAGCACGGGTCGGTAAGCATAATGGACGGCGTCTAGATTGCAGTCACAGCGTCACACCATTTGTAAATTCAATAATTACAGTATGCAATACATATATGTAGAGCGTGTATGTGCTTGTACACTAAGATATACCACTGCAATGATTGCTTTTGGGCAATGTTGCAGTAGTTTAATCCGTGCGAGTACCTACATGTGGGAGGTAAGTACAGCGGTGGGTAATAAGTCATCAGACGGAACGCCACCAAAATACGCGTTTGCAGGCAAAATTGTGGCTAGGTCGTCCGATGACTTATTACCCACCGCTGTACAATATGCTGCTATATTTGAATCAGAGAGTTTCTGTCCTGGTCTGTCACGTGACAAATGAGGGGCGGAGTCACTCGTGTTACAACACTCACATAATAGATTAACAAGTGCGTCATTCTACCTCCGGGGGAAGCAGAAAATGTTTCTAACAGATGTCAACATATGTTACACAGGAACAGACCCCTCGCCTTGTTTTTGTGTCTCGGGGATCTGTACTCAGAAGCACATGTAGGTACTCGCAACAGGCCTGAAGTACCCGAAAATGCAGCTGCAAGGTTTTGGTGTATTTTTGACTTCTACTCCAATGGCAATTGCAGATTAGGGCTTGCATTTTCGGGTACTTGTTACCTGCTGCGAGTATGTACATGATGTATTTACTTTTAGCAGAGTACCTACTTGTGGTCTGCGGATTTGGGAATGCAGGGCGGAGCCTTGGATGTATCCACATGTAAGTACATAATCTATGCGCACACATATACATACTCGGGGCAGGCATGAAGAACCTGAACATCGTTTTTCTGGTAGCAACCACTTTGACCCCTGCTAGCGCGTTTTTATGTTCAGGTTCTTGTTACCTGCCCCGAGTACATACCAATTAATGCATTGATCGGCAGATTATTTATGATGATATCGATACCTGCATGTTGCCTAATTATAAGCTTAAGCCATATATGTACAAGTAGGTATATATGTACTTTTACCGGTACGTACATCTATGAGGATAGTTGCTTTATCTTACAAGATAAAGTAGCTACACAAGGACTATTGGATCAACATTATTATCATGTAGCTGTAAGACGGAGTTACTACATTTATTCTTACTATAGGCCCTGTATCACTATACACATAAGAGGACTTTAGGCGCGTATTATATTATAGAGCTATCGATTACTATACGTACCTGTTTCTATAGATCTAACATACACCTGAAATCTTCAGGGCGCACATATATACACTCTGAAATTCGACCTCTTTGACTGCTTGATTATATATATACTTCTCTCACTATCACTCGTGATTCAAGAATTATTTACCTTAATGTTTTGTACTCATAAACTGCCCTCGTAATAAACACGTACAGATACTTGCAATTGATGGGATTGGTATAAAATCATCTGCCTTTAATAAGAGGACAGGAAAGAAACCCCACATATTATACTTAATGTACATATACCCCGATCAAGTGAGTTATTTCCTATAAAATCAACCCCCCGGTCGATTGAGTTAAGTTCTCAATCATCCAAGCGTCGATCCAGAAACAAACAGACTAAGACACATTATTCAAATACCCTAGAAACAATAAAAAATGACCGGCGCACGCGTAGAAATCCTTCTAGGCGTCGCCGGACCTCTAACACCTTTACTAGCCGCTCCTATCGGATCCACACTTCATAACCACTTCCATAAACCGCTTTATGACTATTACCCCGATCAAGAACAAGTCTGCGACCATGATCGTCGCATTGTGTTGAAAGAACTTGAGATAGCAACAAGGATGTTCCAAGACATCAACTCTCGATTGATCGCGTGCAAACTTATTGGAACCGCGCTCAAGGGCCAGGAGAAGACGGGGGTGTTTCTAGATGCTGTAGAAAGGAAGATTGGAAATGCAAAGGAGGATATAGTGGAGATGTTGGGTTCGGTTGTAACGGCGAAGCTACCACAAAACTCGGCCAATACGTTCGGTAGCCGGGATAATTCGAAGTATTGTGTCAAAAGGGGCGTTTCGAAGGTCAAAAGTCAGTTAGTTATGCACATAACGGCAGACAGGGCATAAAACAGTCTCGCAGTACATCTCATTTTGAATCCGAAGGCCTATCAAACCAGTATTGTCACCGAAAACGATCACATTACTGCAGCTGTTCTACCGGTCGGCTTATATCGCCAGATCACCATAGTAGTGGTTCAGAGGTCAATCTTCGACTTCTTGAACTGAGACATTAATGATTCTGAGTGGTAACGGTAAATGCAAATATGTCTCTCTAAGTTAATTGAGATTCCCTTGCACTAGTACTTCTCTATCCTTTTCCTTGGCAATTGGGCTATCTGTTCGATGTCTTGTCTCGAGGGTTCTTTGGTTAAATCCGTCATCATTTCCTTTCCCTCGATTGTGCAATGGGTTTTTACTCGTGCAATTCTAATTCTCTCTTATAAACTTTATTGAACGTACAAGCAATTCCTGAATACTCTCCTCAGTAGTGATGAGCAGCATTGATCAACCTGAACGTTGTAATTGATCGATCTTGGCAGCCGAAGTACAATGCACTGAGAAACTTGATTTTTGTATGCACATCATGTGATAGAATGAAAATTAAGAGATGAAAAATTAGCTCTAGAAAAAATTTAGGGAGTGTAACCTATCCGATCTAACCGCGGGGTTTTCTATACGGGCCTAGCGCCTATGGCTTTCGAAAACTAGACAAAAGCCTCATTTGCAGTTTCAGTTGTCGTACCCCCCCTCCCGCCTGGAGACCTTCCGCCTGGAGACCTTCCGCTTGAGATCTTGTCGGATTCATCACCTAGATGATTTGTTTTTTTTACTTATTCCGCCAGCTACGCGCCAGCACTACCTTCCAGGCAAAGCCGATAGCCCCATTGAAGCTAAAAGTCTCGGCATCGAGTGATATCATATGAAGGCGAGTTACATGTTGACATGTAGGGGTGGGTTCTGCTAGGAATTTACTAAATGATGTATCGGCCAATTGAGAACAGTGGTTTGCACGATAAGCATGTACTGTATATCTGTACCAATCATTGTAACCCCCCCCCCCCCCCCCCCCCCCCACAATTGAGCTTTGACGTGATTTGAAAGAGTACTGCCTGTCTTAGATGAAGATATGTGCATTCACGTACATATACTAGTGAGAGGGTTAAGACTATTAATAGGTAGCTCCAGAGTATTGGGACTGGGGTTTAGCCAAACTCTATGTTAGATGTGATCCTAGACGAAATTATGGAGTATCACTCGTACACAGTCCTATAGTAATGTTAAAATACAGCTTTTGGCTCGTGCAAGGTTATAATGCTATTGACCGTGTTGAATCTAAACTCGAGCATGTACGTAATCATATATAAGTCTTGATGATGTACATAAGTATACATATGCGTAAGGTTTTCGGTTGTTACATTGTAACCAATCAAATCACTTGACTCCATGGATCCAGGTCTCGCTCCTATATAAGTATGTATACTTAACTGCGCGATCGAGAGAGAAAGCTCGAGAAAGAAAACTCGAGATCCCTTCGCGGGCTATATTCTTGAAACACTCCCTAGAATGTAAAGCGGGAGGTAACTAATGCTATGCTGGTGGGATTTCAAGTTGGGCGGCAGGTTGCAGATTCGAATGATTACATGTAGGTAGTATCGCCTGGTCGGCCGAGACCTGCTCAGAATCTGGTGCTCTGCAGCCTTGGCAACTTTGGGACTAAAAATTACTGTTTGTGGGAGTTGCTTGTTGAAATCTGAACTCTATCGTTACCTATATGGCAAGGTGGGTACTGGGTTTGTACAATATGCAGAGCACCAGATTCTGAGCAGGTCTCGGCCGACCAGGCGATACTTATGTTGCTTTATTAATAATAATATGGGGGTTCTATCTATCTGTACCCCCCACTCCATCGATAGTGTACTACGGCACCCCTCCAGTTAGACTTGAGTATTTTAGGCATTATACACCCCGCAGCAAGTAGATGAGTTCAATACTTAGTTTATTGGTCATACCTAATTAGCAGCAAATTGGAAGGCTTCGTATTGCTCTCCATACTACATGCATGCCCCAGTCCTTCGCGCATAAATTAACTTTTTAACTCGCAGGACCAACCAGCATCATATGTGCTGAAAATATCGCCAGATAATAGTGGCAAATCAAAATGTTCTTCATATTCGCTTCAGCATACCTTCACTTCTTCGTTCATGACAGGTTCCAGTCATCATCTCAAACACCGCTTTTGTGAAAGAAATGAAACAGTAATATCTGAGAACAATTTGAAGCACAACTCCTATAGCTATAGATTCTAACAATTTCCTGGAGATCCCCAAAATCTAAACACGCCGGATACCCACCTGGGCCAAAAATGGAAAGAGAAAAAAAAATGAGAAACACAAACAATTTAAACATATAAAGAGAAACCAAAATCAAGACCAGCTTGACCAAAGCAAAACGCCCTAAATTTTCCTCTATTCATCCTCGCACGTTTCTGATTCATCATCCTGGTCCTCAAAAAGTCCATCCAGGGCATTAACAACTGCCTGCCCAACACCCCAATGCTCCATATCCATGAAAAGACTCCTCATCCACCTAAGAAACCTCCACTCCAAGCTCTCTAACCCCTCTGACTCTTCATTTCTCAACTCCCAGCGCATAAGAAGCCCCAGGAGCTCGTGTCGAAAGTTCTCCACAGGTGGTAATGATCTCGGGGGCTCTTGATGGCCGCTCCCAAGAAGGTCATCCCAATTGACATCGTCGACCATCAACATCCAAGTCTCGTTCGTTTGTGGCGGGTCATACGCCCAGTTATACATAGCCACGTTTTCCATCATGTTGTACCCGACAGACCCGCTGCTTCCCTCCCCGATTCGTACAAGAACCTCCCATACTACCATCAGTGCTTTAAAAATCATCACAGTGACCACGGGAAACTCTGTACTTCTAGCACTATCTTGATATGCTCCTAAAAATCTTATAAGTCCGAGTAAATGCGACAGTAAATCGGTCTCTTCCAAAACCCGAGTGAAGGATGTGTGTGTTGAAGCGTTGGCTGTGACTGAATAACATCGCTCCTTTGCTGCGTCCACGATGTTCGATAAAGCTGTGTCCAGGTCCATCGGAACATCTTTCTGATAGATTGTCACACGATCCGGAAGGATGATCTGGATCAAAGCCAATTGCATCGATATGTAAAACGCTCTCTCGCAACCCTTGAGCCTCCTAGACGATTGTAATTCCTTATCAGCGTCCGGACTCAACGCAAATGCACTAGGTGTTTCATGTGCCGTAATCCCATGCCCGGAATCGAAAACGAACATATTTGCAATTCCAGAAACCTGCCCAACGGTGTTTAAGGCATGCCGCAACCTTTGTAGCTCGACGCGGCTTTCTTCAGGAAAAATTTCAGGTAGTCTTCCATTCTCATAATCGGCTTGGCTCAAATTGGCCGGTTCTTCAGCGCCGACATCAAAATCCTCTTCTGGTAACCTGCTCGTAATATCAAGAATCTCCATCTGGGTGGCTGCAGCCAATATTAATGCCGAGAAGTTACTTCCCAGACCCCCAGCCTGTAGGAGTTCGCTATGACCACGGCCCTTGAGCAGGATACGGAGTGTCTTCCCAAATAGCGGCGGTGAAACATTTACGGAGCCGTGGAGTTGGCTTGTTTGCCACAGATGGTTCCAGGCCTGACAAGTTGGTGCCTCAAAGAGTTGAGCATCGCACGGCAATGGGAGGTTTCGAAGTTCCATTGAACGAAGAAGGCGCGGGGTATCAAAAAGGAGAGCCATGTAGCAATCAACTAGAAATAACGTAAACGCAACCCTAATACCGTTTTAGTAAATATTTGCAAAGTCGAAGATATTATGTTATATTTACCTCTTTCGGGACTCTCTGTAAACAAAAAGTTCCCATTGGTGCTGTACGGAGGACCCCGTAGGAATAGGTTTTTCAACCTCATGGAAATATCTATATTCCCTTGCGATCTGAAAATTATGGTGTTAATCTAAGTCCGGAGGTATTGGTCATGTGATGCGAGTGATAAATTATGAGTATCTAGAAGTGCAACAATTTGATTTACCTCAACACATCGAGCAAGTAGATTCCTTCCTTTCTTATGTTTTTCTTTCTCGCCTGAGAAAAGAGCATAGATTGAAAACAACAGGAGACCTTGTAAGACACAGAGTCTTTCTTCGCGTTCTCTACGCTCCGCGTGTTTCTTCAAAACCTGTTTGGCTGGGTCCATGGGCTCATCATCGCTGATTGTTTCACAGGGCTTGACCATTCCCTCAGGGATTGCATAACTGCTATCTCTTCGTACTTTCATCCTGTAGATCCCTTCTTCGCCTATAGAGTTTCGCTTTGGTCTTTCAAGGTCGACTTCGTCAGTATCCCCAGGTCCTCTTTCGATCCATCTTTCCATAACCCTACGTGTTATACGAGTTAGTATAATCACTCAAAGAAACGTTCAACATTTTGGTAAATTTACTTAACCCCACTCTCCCAGAGTTGTGGACTTAATGTCTTATTGGTAGGATCATATTGGCCTCCTAGAGCACAAACCGCTCTGAGGAAGCTTGCTAGGACTGAGCTAGGCTTGAAGGTCGCCTTATGAAGTAAAGGGAAATATGGATGAAAAGCCTTTGAAGAAAAGTAATAGTCCGAGTAATGGGACAGTAACTGTGGAGGTAAACTAAGAGATCCGGCAGGGGTATTTATTAGTAAGAGAACACTTAATCATGGCACGGGTAAGTTACAATGGCAATTTATCTGGTGTATAATAAGGCCTAAGTTCAGGTACTGATTTTGCGGGGAGCTATTTAGCCAGAATTTGTCAGCCTCATGATGGTTGGTAGTTATCTCTCGAACCCGAACCGATCAGGAAGTGGACAAATAGACAAATTTACGTCAGGGGCAGTTGGAAGAACGAGCTGAAAGCGAGCAATCATTTCCTCCATTTCTGTACTTGGTGAACTGTTACGATCTTCATCTGGCTGCTCCATCTCAGGATGGTGCTTTTTTTGGTGCTTGACCAAGTTATCACTGAAAAGAAAGAAAGGGAAAACAATCAGCCTTTGCAAGAACAAAACGAAAAGGGGAAGGCAGCATCCAAAGAAAGAATTTACCCTCGGGAAAAGGCCAGTTTACATCCTGGAAATGGACACCGTGTGATCTTCTTGATGGAATGCTCTATAGTGGGACGTTTCAGTGCTATGCTATTTATATAATACATCCTATTCGAGACATACTATTCAACTTGTGGCGATTGTTGTTGTACTACAATATGATATAAAATTTAGTACCGACCCACCCATAGATATCAAGGAAGAATTGATTAACTTACTCTTGTGCTAGATCTCTCTTTGCACTCATCGCATTGATATGGTTTTGTGGCCTGCCACAACCTTTCATCTTCCTCTGTCCAATTTCCTCGAGCGGACTCCTCTAGAACGTCTTTAAGTTGTATATCAATATAGCGTCTCAACTTGAGAGCTTGTGAGATCGCCTTGGTGCCAGGCTTAGCCACCGATGAAGCTGGAAAACTAAGTCCCGAAATGGAGTTTTTACGGTTGCTCTTTCGCGCCATGAGATTCTCGCCCGGAGAAACCTCACGGTATTTGGAATTGCTGATTCAACTTGGGATATCCGGATTATTCTGACTTGAGAACTATTCTGTCCGGTGCAAATAACACCATCTTTATACCCAGCAGGTTCCACATTTTTACAATTGAATCGAGACTCTTATCACGGATTGTCTAGCCCCTAGATCTTAGATAGCTCCTCTGGAGGATATAGCTCTAGGAGCTAGTTGGCAACTGCAGAATCCGTGATAAGAGTCTCGATTCAATTGTGAAAATGTTGTGGTTCTTTGGTATGCATAACAGGTTCGGCTGTCAGGCGGATTTGTCAGGTCAGTCGTTAACCTCGCGAGCAGAGGCTCAACTGCGGGGATGAGCCGGGATACGCTCCTCCACTTAAAATGCAGTGAGAGGGTCTGCCGGTTCAGAAACAGTTTTCTGCGAGATAAGCCTTCGCCAACCAACCTAGTCGACGTCAGAGATCCTTTTGAAACTTGACGTGCTACGCTTTGCTGGCGCGTTATTCAAGCCCCGAACACGGCCGCGGTGAAAGGGTTCTTATCTATCGACTTCGATCGATCAAAAAGTCTTGGGGTCTTGGGAGGAACGGCTCTGAGATTCGGACAGAACGTGTAAATCGAGGGAAGCAAGCAAACAAGCAGGGGGTGAGGGATAGAGCCAGATCCCAGGGCTTAAGGTACCGTTCGAGAAAAGCTTTCCCTGGTAGTACATATTCAATCGCAGGCTGAGTCGGAGTGTGAATTAGGCTGGCACGCGACACCATTTATAGAAAGAAAGAAAAGAAAGAGATCATAAAAGTACTGAATCTCTCTAGATATTGATTGCATACATAGCAAGCAGTACTAGTATATCCCACGTCTTCCATTTAAGTAAGAAATTCGAATCTAAATTTCAAAAATATGAATAGCGACTTCAATCAGCTACAACAGCAGCAGAAGCTGGGCTCTTCCAGTACGTCGGCTGAAATGCCGTCCGGCGCCCGGCCTGCTCTCCCGAAGCCCAAGAAGGCAGCAGGAAGAGAGCGCGGCAACTCACTGCTGCAGCAGCATTTCGTTAAGGCGGATATCTCGATTGAAGACCAGCTAAAATATTGCCGGCACTTGTAAGCAAAACTCTCCTGGCGATGTCTCATGCCTATGCCTGAACCTATGCACATCTTGATATCTTCACTTTCCTTTCTTTTCTTTTTCCATTCTGCTTCGAAATCTCAAGAAGCAGGTTTATATCGGAGTAGTCCCAACTCCCCCACCCCCCCCCCCCCCCCCCCCAAACCCCAACCCCATGTTCAATGTCGAGATAACTCTACCATCCCCTTCACTGGAGAATACATTTGTGGGTTTCCTAGGTCTTGATCTCCTGACCTCATATCAAACTCCTATCCTGGGTCAGTAAAGCTGATATATCCCTCAAAAGGCACACAGCCAGTCAGAATTTCGTTGGTTTCAACAAGGACAATCTACATATCATCGCGACATCTTTCGAACACTTGTGCTTGACCGAGTCAGAAAACAAGGTATTGATTGATATTCTCAATTCGAGGGTCTCCTCCTAATCGTGATCTGTCCTCAAGAGGGAATACAAGGCAAAGATCCGCGCAAAGTTGCGTGAATGGAATTACGAGGATTTCTCTGAAGACGAGGAAGCCGATGCTTTAGCTTATCAGTTACAAACAGCTCTGGAGAGGTGATAACTCCCACTCGGTCGCACATATGTCTAGGAACCAGGAGAGAGACATGCTTACACTAAAACCATATAGCTCTGAACCTATGCAAACAACTACTCTTATCACAGGCGAGAACCTCAGCTCCCTTCCGAGCTCTTCAGCATCTGGAAGCCATGTTCACCGCGCCCCGTCTGAACGAAACCCAACTCCTCACAGCACTGGATCCACTGCTTCCAAAAACTCTTCAAAGTTAGGGAGATCATCCTCCTCGCGCCCACGATTACCCTCCCCCCAGCAATCTTTCCCATATGGATCCTTATCATCAGCTTCAACCCTCTTTGATCCCGTCTTTCTCGATAAGACCAATCTCAATGACCCAGCTGTACGCGCAAACTGGGTTGAGGCAGTTTGGCACTATTTCAACAGCGGTGGTTGTCCTCCACCCCCATCAGTGAATACAGGCAGAGTTAGGAGCTCTAGCTTTGCTTCTATGCCCTCGCCAGCAAGCCCCACTACTCCTACGAATGGCCGTTTCAGGTCCTTAGCAGTTTCAGACCATCATCACCACCACCACCACCACCATCACCCTAATCAACCACAACCACAACAAGAGCAGCATATAGAGAGTGAATACGAGGTTATGGAAGGTGTAGAGACATATTATCAGCAAGGACCAAATCAACAACATAATATCGGTAATCTAGGACAAATAGTTGATCTTGGAGCTCTAGCTCCGGATCCAGAAGCTTTATCATACGTTCAGCTGGAGCAGTGGCAGAAGATACAAGATCAGAACATCGGCAACCCCTAAAGGGACAATATGTCCTTAATTGTTTTTCTCGCTTCAAAGGAGACTGTCGTCGATTCAGCTATAATTTAGTGCTTGTTTCTCATATTCACGTTTATTTAACCCAGTGAAGTATGCTTTCTTTTTTCGAACGGCGTCTCTTAGAATTTCGGCACATTTTCTTAAAAAGATATTTTATTATCTTAGCTAGTTGATGGTCAAAAAGAAATGTTCCAAGTTGTAATCATAGATTGTTACTCTCGTCACCTATTATCACTCGTAAATCGGTTAGATAAGCCCACAATCAACATAATCAATGAGCTCGCGAGGCATGGCATTCATAAGCAGCCGGTGAAATTCAGAGCACAACTCACGGGTATTGACAGAGGTAGTTGTGGTATCTGAGGGAAAATATTCTGTTCAATACTGAGATCGCTAAACTGGGCTAATCCCATTCCCACCACGGGGTACGTAGACAAAAATCCGTACAAAGACAAAGAAACATGCCCAAATTTTGCTGTTTGTAACTAAACTAACATGAAGATCTCAATCGTTATGAAACGCCTAAACGCACCTAAACTTGGAAAGAACTAACAGAAACAGGAACAAATCAGACAACTCCCTTTAAGCTCAATTTGCGTTCCCTCCACCCATAGTCCCCGTTGACACTAGGCCTAGGGACTGAGATACTTGGAATGGAACTCCATCCGGACATCAAACAATGAGCCGATATCCTGCTCGTTGCGCTTGATGCGGAATGTCTTGAAGGCGTTTCCATTCGGGAGCTTAGCCGGAGGTCGACCATCCTCCCTACATAGAAGGGTTTCGAGCGCGGTTATTGAGAGAACGCCAGATATGATTTTATCGGGCTTGCCATCAACAGAAACCTGTAGTCTTCCAGGCGGATAGGAGAATGTGAGGGAGAAATCTTCAGGGTCGATTGCTATAAGCTATTTGATATTAGCAAGGATATTAATATATATTAACACGTAATACAAGAAATGGGAAGCGTACCTTTGCGTCTTTCTCAACTAAAATCGAAGCCGCCTTTTTCCCCTTTTTGCTTGCGCCTCCAGTGGCAGTCTGAAACGACCGACGCAAGCTAAAAACATCACCGACTCGCAGAGCAGAGTGTTTAGCGAGCGTTTCGAGCTTAACATTTGTTGTATCGCCTGCGACAGCGCTGTAATCGACGCGCTGTTTTTGTCCCCAAAAGGCCTCGAACTTGTTTTCCTTAAATGTGTCAAACTCCGCGGACTGGGCCAATTTACGTGCTTCCTCGACGGTCTTTTGTGTTTTGGCAGTGTACTTCGCCTCAGAGATATCGTATTCGACTTGATTGATTCGAGCAATGAGTTGACTATTATTCCAGAAGCCATCGACAAGTTGGGCTTTTGGTGGAGTGGGGTCAGTGACATCCCCAGAAGCCTCGTATACTTTATCGCACTCAGGTAGATGCTTCATGAGGTATTTTTTATCTTCATCAGATATTTTATCCCAGGCAGCAGAGTTGAAAATTTGCTATCATGAAAATTAGCAATGTAACCTAAAGAACAGCAACACACATGGGAGGTGAAGGCATATATACACGTAGGCTGATAGCATAGATACTATTAGGGTTCGTCATGAGAAACTCCTCTTCCCAATCACTATCGTCATCGATAATATCATTTGGGACAGTACTTTGGATCGTGGCTCTCTTGGCGATTTTCCCTTTGGGAACAGGCACTTCCGCTGCGCTCTCTTCTGGAAACACTTGGGCACAAGCCCACCCCATTAGTTCGGAAGCCAAACGTCGTGAAAACCCTTCAGAGATCATTTTACGACCATGGCTGCCACTACCTCTGCTCGGTTCAGGGGATCGAGAGGAGTCTTCTTCAGCGATTGACCCACCTCCGTTGTTCACGTCATGCATAGAGTCATCAACATCATTTTGGAGAGTTTTCGAATCCACATGATCATCGGCATCAACGGTCGCTTTACTGCCTTCGTCAGCTTCAACCTTTACAGCTCCCGGATCTAGGTCCCGATAGCGTCAGCTTAACTTCAGAAGCAAGAGCGCAACCGCAACACCCACCTGCTTTTATTCCAGAAGAGCTGGCGATCTGTAGATTCTCCAAGTCCTCTTCATTTACGTCAAGGTCCTCCTGTTTGGTCGGGGCCAGAGTCTCATCATCCGACATGAGATCAATCACACGGCGCTTTTCCCCAACACGAGCCTTAGACTTCCTTTTCGGCGGTGGAAGCCTAGCAAGAGGCTCATCATCGGCAGAGGGCCTACCGCGGGTTCTTCGTGTACCGGCCATTATAGCAGGAGTTAATGTGGGCTGGAGATTAGTCCAAGGTTTGCGAGAATTAGTCAACTAGAGGTTGTTCCATGGGGAAACGCGCCAGCACGCGTGGGGTGTTATTAGCCGCGTTTAGATTTACAGGGATAGCCACACTCTATCTCTATTGTGGCAGTGCGCTCTATAACGAGGCTCTGTGTCGCATGGGAAAGCCGCAAGGACGGTAGCTCACGGGACAAAGATAAGCACCTCTACAATCAATATGTCACTATCAAAATGAAGTTATTCGGCGGCTACAGCGGTAGTAACTGATATCCCGATCCGTTGGCCTTCAAAAAAGAAAATAAGGTACATTTAAATACAATGTAGGTACATACATGTACTGTTACATGATACTAGTTCAGTGTCAGTAACAGAAAGACAGGTTTGCAACGCTGCTGCGCATGCGACTGCTGCAAACAACTGCTTTGTGAGCTCCCAGAAAGATCGGTGCGGCAAATATATTGTCTCGGCTCGATTGTTAGATAACCATTTTTGTTCTGGGGTGATAGGCCTCGCATATATCACTTTTCGTTTCGTTTCGTTTCAATCATACTCTTTTCCCGTTTGGTGAGTTCTGCAAGGGGAATTGAATACCCGGCGAGGATAGAGATGGGTGGTGTCTTCTGGCTGGGCTTATACATGTAATGTAAATCACGACCCCGCGTTGATCAATTTACCGGTACAAGATCATGACGCGTTTAGACATGAAGTAATTAACATCTTGTTGGTTCTGGGGAGGTATGGGGGGACATTCTACCGGGGCATCATACATGTAGACATGGGGTGAGGAGGTATGTAGGTGGTATGCTTCTAAATGGGTATTCATTTCGTGTACCACACGGATCCCAATTAAAAAAAAAATGTCATCGATTTTCCGTCGGTTTTTCGATTGCGAGATGAATTTCATCTTCCCTTGGGTGCAATTAGTTGGACCATGGAACTTGCACTTGCGGCTGCTTCATGTATCGATACGCCAACGTCGGATTATTTGGTAAGATTTTCGTCGCAGGAACCAGGTTAATACCTCCCGGCGCCAGTTTTTCGGATTATTTCGTAAGATTTTCCACTACAACACCAGGTTAACGAAGCCCCATCGGCAATGACAGCTCCCTGTACTAGTACATACCCATCCTAGTGCAACACTGCTGAGACCTCTTCTCATCATGGTAATATAAGACGACGGTGATATGATTTATTATTTAGCCTGTGGTCTGAAATAAAAGTCTCCATCGGAACCGCATATATCTTGTTGGATTCTTGTCAGTTTGTGTGAGTACCACCGGTAAACATTCTCTAAACGGCCGATACCACGATCGCTAAGTTGCTGATGTGCATAAACACTGCATCCAAGACATCCACACTGCTGAAAAATGAGATTAAAAAAAAAAAAAAAAGTGATAATTCATGCAGTGCAGTAATGATCTCCAGAGCCTAAGGCCAACTTTACAACGCCAAAATAAAAGACGTGCTTAGCTACATGTATTCACGTCGTACACTTTACATGTAATGCTCAAGGGCTCCTCCTTAAATTATCGAACAGGAACAGGGCTTCTACTTCTTCTCCTCCTTTTCTCACCCCCCTCCCTGTCATCCTGAGCCCTATCACGCTCCCCGCGTTCCCTGTCATTACCCCTGTCACCCCGCCTTTCTCTGTCCCTTCTGCCGCCCTTCTCATTTCCCCTGTCGTCATGATCCCGCCGGTCTCTGCGTCGACTTACCGAACGTCTTCGCTCACGGTCCCGTCTGTGCCTGTGCCTTTCCCTTTCTCTATTCTTATCCGGGCTCCGGGACCTGCTCCTGTGTCGTCGTGATCGATGACCATCGCGGTCTCGATCTTTTCTCTCTCCCCTCTCCCCTCTACCACCTCTTTCACGTTTCTCATCTGCCGGTCTATACGACCCCTCTAATCTCCCCTCATCTTCCTTTTTATCTGGTGCAGCTTCTCGTTTCCCGCCTCTTCCAAAGCCCACACCTTGTGCTTCTCCCTTTGCCTCTTCGCTGTCTGGTTGGCCACCTGCACCGGCTTCCTTGATTGCACGCTTGATATCATCTTGGTTGACAGCATCTGTGTGCCGCCGTACAACCTTGAATCCAAGGGCTTCAGAAAGGGCATCGTTCTCGGCTTCTTTGATGCGACGAATCTCTTCGAGGCGTTGCTGTTCGGCCGTGAGGGTGCTATCGGAGTCGCCTTTGGCATACCAAGTCAAATCTCTGCCTTTCTGCCAACGGCCGACAGCTGTGGGGGGTCAGTTAATAATCAGACTCGTGGTACTCTAATAATGGAGAGGCTGGGGGATCTGCCGGAGAATAAGAGAGTGGGGGGAGGCTAGAAGCTCTAGACATACGAGCCATTAAAGAGTGCCCGAGATAGTTCTCGCGGTCCTTATCCTCTTTCACATCCTCCCATTTGAACTCAGCGCGCCCACCGCGGGAGCTATCGCCTTTACGGAGTCCAGACAGAAGATCCATTTTGCGTGGGGTTCCTTTACGACTATTCTAACGTTCGTTTGCAGGGCTTCGTGGAATTGAAGATCGTGCGTAGATGTCGTGTCAATGATAGTCAATTCGTGTCTGTCAATTTGCCGTGAACTAGTATACGCAGGGCTGGCTGTTCGTGTCAGGCGTGGTGTGTGATGTATCAAGTACTAGAAAAGCAACAGCGAAAGAAGAAAAATAAAATCACGAAGAACAGATCTGTCGCGTATCAGAGCAAAGCAGACACGAGAACGTAAAGGCAAAAAAAGGCGCCAATGCAGTCAACAACAAGCTAGGTGAGCGCGCCGACGGCCAAAGTGCGAGACGTGAAGTTGATTCAATACCCTGTAAACCTAACCTTTAGCTCCTTGGTATCCACAGAGCCGCAACAGAAAAGGTTGGTTCCGATTGCAAACTCAAGTCCATGCCGGCTGAAGGTCGACTCCTACTCGCTCGTTCGTTCGTCAAGCCAACCTCCAACCTACCTTCCCTGCAAACCATACTTGGAGCGCTTGCCTCCCCGGGCTTTTCTTCCCCTCCAGCCAGAGCAGGGAGGGTAGGCCAAAGTACGTACATACATGAGTCGACGTTAACCTCTCAGGACTTGTGATGTGCTTCTCTTCCCTGCGGCCTTGGTACTAGCGGCTACAGTTCAACGAAGGGAAGAGTAACGTATTTCGTCTGATCTCGCTCCTCCTTTTGTGATCTCAGACAGGAATGAACAATGAGGAAAGAAAAAAAGAATTTTTAACAAAGTAACTGCTTTCTTTTTCGCCACCTATGACCTCCCTCTGATCGCCCATTTCTACCTACTCTACCTGGCTGGCAGTACTCGGCCGGGTACTCAAAAGAATTTAAATTTTTTTTCCTTACCTTACCTTGTCAGAATGAAGTGAAAATAGTAATTGGGAATATCAGAAATCTGAAAATTTTTCCTCTCGGCCCCCTCCATCCATGGCTACCGACCCCATGCAATTAATATAAGCGACAAGAAATCAGAACATGGTATCCACATGCGATCCATCGGTAGGAGGAAATTATCGAACAGCTACGAAGAAAACAAATAAACTTTTCAGCTCGGTGGATCACGAAGCAAGTGGAGCTCTGTGAAAAAAAAATATAATCAATGTATGAGCTCACCGCCGCTCAGTGGATGAGCCCACCTTGTGACCACACCAACCATGTTACCCATGTGTTTACCGGCGGCGACGCATCTTATGCAGGACGCGGGACTTGCTTGACTTGGGGCGACGAGTGCTAGTTGCCGGGTGCATTTGTACAGGGTGAGCTTTTCAAGTTTTTTTTTCATTCCTTTTTTCCCTTGCCCTACCTCCTTTCCCCATCGCTTTTTCTGAATTGACCTACATTGAATTGAGCATCCCTGCGTTCTGCGGTTGTGCACCTGCGGCCTACCGTACCCCAGCTTTTGCCAGCTTGAGGTTCTACAGAAAGGCGACTATCGTCACATTCTGGGATGATTGATACACCCAGACGAGTTTATGTTGCTGGAAAGGGCCAACAATGTAATACCCTACCTACCGTAGGTGCATATTCGTCATTTCGTGGCCAACCCTGGGGGGGAATTTAAAAAGAAAAGAATAGGGAAAAACGAATTCTCAAATCGAAACAAATGAAAAAATGAAAATATAATATCACAACCTTAGCTCCAATACGAGAGTCGCGTTGATACACTGGGGGGTTGAACACTGTACTGCCCGATTCCAGACAGCTAACAATGGAGGAGCAGCAGGAGGAGGAGGAGGAGGAGGAGGAGGAGGAGGAGGAGGAGGAGGAGAAGGAAGGGGGGGGTACGTTAGACGAAGGAGGCTTGTTGATGTCATTACTTTTCGAGCATTGTCAAATGAGTATGCTGGAATGGAGGAGAAGCATCTGTCCTCGAGACCCCCTCTCTCCACACCCGGACTCAAAGCTCTGGACCTTCTTTCTATTCCCTTTTCTTGGCGCATCACAGACACAAGATCAGCATACAGCTACGATTCCTGGCTGCCTCTCCGCAAAGATTCGTGGAATAGGCAGGGCTGGAAACAGGCGATGTCAGTGACAGCAACGGAGCCAAGCAGTGTACCGGTACTCGAGGCGAACTGTGGTTGAGCTCTGTTACCCAGGCTAGTGTTATTCCAACTGCTCCCCTGTAGACAACGGCCTGACGACAAGTGATAGTCCCCCACCTGCAGCATGGGTGCAAGAAATCCAGAGCAAAAGCAGAAAGCAAAGCGAGGAATGGGGAACCCCTCACTAGTCTCAGATGGTTATGAGATCCCGTGCTAATGCCGGAAAGCGTCGGCCTTCCGCAGCAAGCTTTTTTTCTTTTACTGGCTTGCTAGCATACGTGCGCGCTTGCTTGGTGGAGTGCACGGAGAGGAAGAATGAGAAAGGTGGATGTACCTATCTATTCGCCTCCGACATTCTCGTGGCTACTCCTCCCCAGGGACATATATTTCAAGCCAGGGGGCCTTCTTCCTCTGGCTTTTTTCCCTCTCGTGTTGATTTGCTCTTCGACAGCTATCCTCTGCTATATTCTGCTTTTTTTTTTGTTTGCTTTGTCCTGCATTGCTTTCTTCATTGCTTGTTCGTTTGTTTTCCTTCAGGCCCTTCGGCAGTCGATTGGGGATCGTGAGATTCTTATTACGAATTGTTGTTTCTCCTTCGTGGTAGAAACAATCCGAGACGCAATATATCATGACTTCTCCTGCTGGTGGTAGAAGAGACAACTTCGAAGGCTATGCTTCAGACAGCCCAGGACCTACTCCGAGCCCTACGTACAGAGCTTCCTATTTCCAGGACGTAAGGAAGCAATCTGACGACCCGAGCATTTCTCCTTCTTCAAGTTCTCCGAATGTCACCATTCCCGCTTTACGCCCACGACGGTAAGCAATCTCCCAGTTTTCCCGAGTTTTCCCTATCAACTTTATTTTCCCTATTATCTTATTATCCCTCTTCCCTTTCCCCATTCGTTACTCGCCCCCACTTTTGTTTTCGCTTTAGAGCGCAATTCCGAATGATGAGTTCCTTTCTTTCTTTTCTTTCTCCCGGAATCAAAAACAAAGTCTCCGGTTGAGTTGCGGATGTGTTCGTTATCATCCTATCATAGCTTGTTCTGGGCGAATCTACATCGTGACCACTTTGGTGATGTCAACCAACCAAGACAAACTTATCGACCTACCAACCAGAGTAAGAAATTAAAGGAAGCTAACGATGCGCCACCGGGCCACAACAGATCTTCCCTTTCACTAGGCCTGGACGCAATCCGCTACGCCGGCGGTGTAAATTCGCTAGATAATTTCGCCCGCTCTTGGACCCGTGCCGCCGGCTACTTTGAGATCGCACCATCTCGCCAGCCAGTCGTCGCTGTACCTGGCTCAAGCCGCGACGAAGAATCCCCGGAAGATAGCTCTGCCATTGACGATGATTACGAGGAGTACCATTCTGATGCGACAACTACACGCGGACGCGGGCGCATTGATGGCGCAGCGAGTAGTTTTGGCTCTTACGGGAGCTTTACAAGCCCATTGAGTCGGTATGGGACAATGGACTCGTTACCGCAGACGGGATTGCCGATAGGACGTCTAGGCGGTGCAGTCAGGCATGTGCCAGAAGTGCAGGATTTGCCGGCGAGTAACATTGGAGTTGTTCCGGCGGATAAAGAGAGGGAGCCCTTGTTGGTGAAGGCAGTAGTGACGGAAGAAGGGAAGGTAGAGCATGTTATCGTGGGGCAGAGCACACTTCCGCAGACGGTATTTAATAGCGTTAACGTGCTTATTGGGATTGGGCTATTGAGCTTGCCGCTTGGATTGCGCTATAGTGGATGGTATGTTGCAAGGTGTCCTGAGATCAATTCATTGGCCCATAGCTAATAAATCTGCGCACGAAGGTTGATTGGAATAATCTTCATTCTCTTCTCCGCCGGCGTGACAAAGTACACCGCTAAGCTTCTTGCACGCTGCCTCGATAAATCAACCAACCCCCATCTTGTCACATACTCCGACATTGCCTACATCGCGTTCGGTCACAAGTCGCGGGTATGCGTATCGGTCCTGTTCTCGCTTGAGCTCATGGCGGCCTGCGTTGCGCTTGTCGTCCTGTTCGCGGATTCACTCCATGGGTTGTTCCCGCAGATTGACAAGTTGCAATGGAAGATAATTGCAGGGGTTGTTTTGACACCGTTGAGCTTTCTACCTCTTCGGGTGTTGAGCTTTAGCTCCATCCTGGGGATTGTTAGCACGTTTAGTAGTGAGTAGTCCTGCTCCCGTTCCCCTTTGCCGAGGCATGGCTTGGCAAACACAATTGGGTGCTAATGCGATCATTACCATTGCCAGTTGCGATGATTGTCTTTATCGACGGTTGGATCAAGCCTGAAGCACCGGGATCTTTGCGCGACCCTATGCCAACATACCTCTTCCCTCAATCATGGTGGACTGTGCCGCTGTCGTTTGGACTGCTCATGTCGCCCTGGGGAGGTCACTCTGTGTTTCCGAACATCTACAAGGACATGCGACACCCCAAGAAGTACAACAAGGCAGTGGACATCACCTACGGGTTTACTGTAAGCTCTCTCTCTCGCCATATTTAACTGTGCGACTTCTAATAAGATATCTACAATCTAGTTCTTCCTTGACATGGCACTCGCGATCACCGGAATCCTCATGTTCGGCGATGGCGCAGCGGACGAAATCACGTACAACATCCTCGCGCTCGACGGGTACCCCAAGGGACTGAGCGTGGCCATGGTAGTCTTCATTGCCATGATCCCGCTCACAAAAACACCGCTGAACTCTCGCCCGATCATCACGACGATTGAGATCATGCTCGGTGTTGATCCCCGTGCCCTGCCTGAAGGTCAGAGGATGACCCCGTTCAACGAGGGTATCATGAAGATTGTCATCAGAAGTATTACCCCCCTCTACTCTCCTCTTACCCCCGTGGCTTCTGTTTTTCTAACAGGGGAAATAGTTATGGTCAATATTGTGTTTGTCATCGTTGCGATACAGTTCCCGTCGTTCGACAGGATCATGGCGTTCTTGGGAAGCTTCCTGTGCTTCACCATCTGCGTGATTCTGCCGCTCCTCTTCTACCTCAAGATCTGCGCCGCCGAGATCTCGCGCAAGGAGAGGATCTCGTGCTGGGTGTTGCTGGTCGTGAGTACTATATTTGCGGCGATTGGAACCGTCGCAGCGTTTGTGCCGAAGGAGAGCCTCGGGCTGGGTGTTGCTGTATGAGGAGAGAAGCCATAGCTAGGGGGGATTGGTAAGTATTTGTACGACGTTACAAGAGAAAAATCGGCATAAAAAAGGTTAAAACGGAGCTTTAGAAAAAAAACAGGGACAGTTTTTCTGGAATTGGCGAATGGGTTTAATCTTGATTTTTTTTTCCATTTTATTACTCCTCTCTTACTATCATTTCCTTTCCTTTTCTCCCTTTTGTTTTATTTTGGGTTTTTCTTTCTTTCTTATACCTCCTTCAAAAGTTTTTGGTTTTTTTTTCATCTCTTTTTTTATTATTATCTCTTTTATCCCTTCCCTTTGTCTGGGCAACAGTGGGCTGCTGATTTTATTTCTTATTCTTATTTTTCTTTTCATTTTGGCCGGGGGAAGGGGGGGGTGCTCAAAAACTGGATATGATATTGGTGTTGGGTGGGCAGCGAGCGGAAATGACGCCAACCACCACGTTTACAAATAATTGAGTTTGAAGAAAGAAATATTGTGGGATTCTTCTCGTGAAGCTAGCTGGAGTCGATGAAGAAAACTGCGTTGTAAAGGTAGCGAGATAAAAAAACACGGGGTGCTATGATATGATTGTGGAGAAAAAAGCGTCTTGACTTTTTGTTGTATATTATTTATAAACGGGGCTTCTTCACAAGGTACATACTGCGAACGAATAAATATAATGGTGAACTCCTCTGTCTATCTGTAAGCTGGTACACCTACATAGCTAGCTGTTGAGCTGCTGTTCAGCATCACAACCTGCTTATCAATCCCATGCGCAGCCTCGGCTGTTGCCATGATGAGTGTTGTTGCTGTGCTACTGGCACGTTGCCTGCATGGAACTTGCCGAAGTCCGGGGTAACCGTTCAGCAGCCGAGGGAAGCCCGCCCCTCCCAGCTCTCGCTCACAGCAAAGCACAGCACAGCGCATGAGACAAGACATCGGTGCTGATTAACGGCACTGCAACGGGGCAGCGCCCGTTGGGATATAAAGTGTAGAGTCCTCCCCCCACAATTGGACACCGTTAACTGTCCAATCTACCTATCATCAATCAACTCTTGTCCCCTCCCAACCCTAGATTCTTTTTTCTGTGAGAACTTGAAAAGCTTGGATAGTTAGCTGTATATCTTCGATCATTCGCAATGGCTCAGGAAAGACTTAGCAACATCCTCAACCACATCAGGACTCCAACGGGGTTGGCGGCTATGTAAGTTTGACAATATATATTTTGCTGTAGAAAAAAAGGAAAGGAGCTCGAGATGCTGATTATGTGGATTGGGGGTAGCACGTCGAAAAATCCGGATGATATCGTGATCACATACTGTGCCCGCACGCCGCTCACAAAGGCGTTCAAGGGCGGGCTCAAAGACACCCAGATCGACTACCTCCTTCTACAGCTCTTCAAGGTACCCCCCATTCCCTTTCCCACGTCGCTTTCAAACCTAATATAGCTAACACACCCCCTAGCACACCATCTCGGGCTCCAACATCAACCCCACCCTCGTCGAAGACATCTGCTGCGGCAACGTCAACGACGGCTTCGCGCCCTACAAGGTGCGCGCCGCGGCCCTCGCCGCCGGCTTCCCCAACACCGCCGCCGTCTCCACCGCCAACCGCTTCTGCTCCTCGGGCCTGCTCGCCGTGCAGAACATCGCAAACCAGATCACCTGCGGCTCCATCGAGGTCGGGCTCGCCGTCGGCATCGAGCAGATGTCGCTGTCGCCCAAGGCCGTGCCAGACTTCAACGAGACCGTCATGGCCGCGTCGCAGGAGGCCGCCGACTGCCAGCAGCCCATGGGGCAGACGTCGGAGAACGTGGGCAAGGACTTTGGCATCACGCGCGAGGCGCAGGACCGCTATGCGGCGGAGTCGTATCGGCGTGCAGAGCACGCGCAGAAGGCCGGCTGGTTCGATGAGGAGATTGTGCCCATTGCGACGAAGGTGGTGGATCCGAAGACGGGCACGGCGGTCGAGGTGACGGTGAATAAGGATGATGGCATCCGCTACGGGACGACGTTTGAGTCGCTGTCGAAGATTCGGCCGGCGTTTACGCAGTGGGGCGATCGCTCGACGGGGGGGAACTCGTCGCAGGTGACGGATGGCGCGGCGTCTGTGCTGTTGATGAAGCGGTCGACGGCGGAGAGGCTGGGGCAGACGGTCATGGGGAAGTTCTGTGGGGCGACGGTGGCGGGGGTGGCGCCCAGGATTATGGGCATTGGGCCGACTGTGGCGATCCCGAAGTTGCTGGCCAAGTTCAGGCTCACGAAGGACGAGATTGATGTCATTGAGATCAATGAGGCGTTTGCGAGTATGGCGGTGTACTGTGTCAAAGAGCTGGGCCTCGACCACCAGAAGGTTAATCCGAGAGGCGGTGCGATTGCCTTGGGACATCCGCTGGGTGCGACAGGTGCTAGGCAGATTGTGACGGGGCTGGCGGAGGCGAGGAGACAGAAGAAGAAGATCTTGCTTACAAGCAGTATGTTCCACCCTTTCTTTCCCCTCTATTCCCTTCTTTAGCCATGGCGGTAGTGTAGTTCGTATACTGACTGACTGTGTGAATAGTGTGCATCGGAACTGGTGCCGGCATGGCTGGTCTGTTTGTGAATGAACAGGTTTAGACGAGTTTCTTTTTCCTTTCTTTCTTTCTTTTTGAGCGGGGTGTAGATCGATGGTGGTGTGGTGTGCGCGTGTGTACTGATATATGACATTTGTATTCCTTTTCTTTTTACTTTTTTCTGCTTTGTTCTTCTTGTAAAGGCACGGTTGGGCATGCATACCATACATACATATCTTACTTAGCTTCGGGACACTATCGAAATCAAAAAAAGCTCGTTCTCTGTCGGATTATATTCGGATAGCGTGTTCTTCTGTGCTGTGTTTCTGTGCTGTGTCTCTGTCAACAATAAAGGTAAATGGCTCAGCGATCTGCTAAGCTAGGGACGTAGCTACCCATCAAGGTTGATATGACCCAATACTTAAACCACCCCAGAGCAGAAAGTACACTCGGCTCGGAGCCATTCCATTATTAGAACCAGACCCTTAATTCCCCCCCCCCCTCCCCCCCAGTCATAGAGTAGCCTTAACACGAATTAAGCATTTACTTGTGAAACATCCCCATCAGGGTCTGCGTCCGCGGGGTTATCATGCTGCGTAATGGTGCCACCGCGTGGACGTATATTTGTCTGCGGGTCTGCGCGGGGAATGCGCGTTATTGAAACTTAATAGGTTGTGGTTTCTATGGGTAGTTGGTAGTTCAGCCGCTGCGGATATAGACGGGAGGAATATATAGCGCCGCGGGATATCGGTGCTGTGGTATGTTCCTTGTGGGAGGTGCTGGTGGATGTGAATGTGTGTGTTGGGTTTGGGTGTTGGGTTTGGTTGGAGTTGCGTAGCTTCCCGATTCATTGGTGGGTGGTGTGAGGGGCGAGTGATAGTGTGTGATCTGGTGCGTGTTGTGTTTCTTTGCTTCTGTGTGGGGGTTTGTGGGATGATGTGGGTAAGCCGGGAGAGTGTAGGCGTGGCCTGGGAGTAGGCGTGGCCTGGGAGTAGGCATGGTATTCTTGAGCCCGTAAAGAGAGGTTGTGATCTAATCTAATCTTGATTTCTTACGTCTAGGTGGTAAAGTGCCACATATATGACGACTGGTGGTAATAGATTTATCAGTAGTATACAGTGGGTTTCTGTATACCGGGGATGGTGGGCTTGGCTGGTTGACAAGAGGAGTAGGCCGTCTTGCCCTATATGCTAGCTGGTGTGTTCTTGTCCTCTTAATAGAGTTGCGTTGTCTAGTAAGTTACCTGTCTTCAACTCGACCCTAAGTCCCTACTTGTATGTGTACATATGTACATGTATCTACTTGTACTAGCTAGCCTACGTATACGACTACTATTAAAACACGTTCGTGACTTGTGGACTTTGATACCTGGCTTACTATTCGAGCTTAAGGCTCCTTGGGACTTGTGGCATTGTTTGGATTTCTTTACGAAAGGTACAGCTTTATTAGCCGTGCTGTATGAGACAGTAGGTATAAGGTGGTCTTAGTAACAGTGCCTACAGTCTAGCTAGCCTAATTCTAGACGTGTCAACTTTATATGTATAAGTAGACAGGCTTGCATGCTCCTTCGTAATAGAACCATCCATTCTACTATATTGCCTATTGAGTCTTCCTACAGTATGATGCTGGAAATTGGAATTGATTGATACCACTGGAGGACATTCTGCTCAGAACCTAGCTACGTCTCATCGAATCCCTACGGTATCTACCTAAATACTCTACGTACGCCCAGCAGCCTCCCTCTCCCTCATCAACCTCTTCAGTGCCATCCTCGTCCCATTCACAATCTCCACATGCTCGACCCTATGTATCCTCTCCTCCAACTCCGCCAACTCTTCCCCCGCCACCATCTCCACCTCCCTCACCACGATCGGCTCTCCCCGATCCACCTCGCAAATCACCCAGTGTATCATGATGCCCGTGCCCCCAATCTCACCCCTCTGGAAAGCCTTATACGCCCTCTCTATCGCATCCGCCCCATCAAACTGCCCCGGTAGCGCCGGGTGCAGGTTGATAATACCCACCCCCGCCTCCACCAGCGGCTGCAGCGCCGCCTCAGAGAAAATGTGCATCCACCCTGCACACACCACCATGTCGGGCTTCTGCTCCAGTATCAGCCGCACGAGCTCGGCATCGTAGGCCTGCCGCGCAGAGGCGATGTCGGCATGCTGCTTCTTGTACGGCACCAGGTTGTGGTAGGTTGTGGGGATGTTGGCATTGGCGGCGCGGGTGAGCCCGAAGGCGGCCTTTTTGTTGGAGATGACATGGATGATGTGGGCAGGGAGGGTGGGCGGGGTGGAGGTAGTGGCGGAGATGAGGGCTTGCAGATTGGACCCGTTGCCGGAGATTAGGACGAGGAGTCGGGGGCTGGCGGGGGTGCTGGGGGTGCTGGTGGCCATGTTGGGTTTGTGACTGGGTAAGGAGGGTCAATGATTGTTGTGTCAGTTATTGGGCGTAAGGT